CATAGTGTGGTGCTTAACCCCTTGCACCATGAGGGAGGCCCTGTTTACCCCTTTCTTTCTGCCTACCCTGGCAGCCACTGATCTTTGTATTGTCTCCATAGTTTGACTTTTTCAAGAATGTCATTGAGGTGGAATATGTCATCTTTTCGCATGTGCTCCTTTCACTTGGTAGTGTGCTTTAAGACTCCTGGTTGACTGTTCATGGCTTGCCAGCTCATTTCTTTTCAGTACTGACCAGTATTCCGTTGTCTGGAGCTATCAAAGTTCGTTTATTCGTTCACCTACTGAAGCACATTTTGATTACTCCAAGTTTTAGTAATTTGGTCTAGAGCTGCCATAATCTCCGGGGTGCAGGGTTATGTGTGAATATGCCTTTTCAGCACCGTAGGCTAAGTGCCAAAGCGCATACTTACCTCGCTCCTGTTTTTAATATGCTCTTGTGTGTTTGAGGTACACGCTGACTCTAACCCCCCACCAGGAAGAATGTGCCCCTTGCTGGCTGTGCCAGGACGCCCAGGCCACCTGACATCCCCGGAGGGGTGACTGTCAGTGACAGGGCGTCTCTTTCTCTCCTGAGGCTCTGCTCTCTGAGCATGCATTCTCCAGCTTCAGTTATTTCCTGGTTTAAATTTCTCACTTTAAAGTCAAGATATTGCCATCTGTCAACCAGAAACTCCCTGCATTTGTGGACCTCAGGAGTACAATGGCCATTTATGGTTCCAGTAAGCTCCTTACAGTTTTCTGGGATGCTGACTCTGTCGCTGGATCACTCAAGAAAAAACAAATATATTTCAAGGGAGTTTAATGGTGGGGAGTCTGTCTTTTAGAACCTTAGCATTCCAGGTAGGAGGTGACATGGAACAAACCACAGCTACAGGATAAGAGTGTTTACTCTTGTGGCCACATAATTACTGTAATTATGTAACAGCATTATTAGAAATGCAGTTGTATTTTTGTATGCAAACTTTGAAAGTCAAGAAGAATACTAGAAATAAAAGAAAGCCTCTATTGGTAATTAAACTGGAGGCTTGCAGCATATTAAAACACTGTTAATTTGCCTTGCTTAGTTGTCTGACGTACAGAGCCATGCTGTTCTCTGCTCCAAAGTAGAGTTGGCCCAGAAAACCTGGGACCCAAGATACAGAAACAATCTCAATGCCCAAAACAGATGTGTGGATCAAGAAGATATGATATAGGGCCTCCCTGGTGGCCGAGGGGTTAAGTCTCAGCGCTATCACCGCTGTGGTTTGAGTTTGATCCCCACCCAGGAGCTACAGCAGCAGACTTTTCCTGTCTCACCTTAGCAGTGTATTTCAGTTTCTCTGCCTGTTCAGCTCCCTACTCTGTCTCTGGTGAATCCTCTCACCTCCCCCATCTCTGGCCTACACCCCAGTTCTTCTATACTTAAATAAATAAATAAATCTTAAAAAAAAAAGATGTGGCATATAGACACAATGGAATACTACTTAGCAATCAAAACTCAAGCCATTTGCAGCAACATGGATGGAGCTGGAAGGTATTATACTAAGCAAATTAATCCAGAAGGAGAGAGAAATACTGAATGGTGTCACTTAAATGTGGAACACAGAGAAATCAAACAAAGGGTCAAATATAGACATTAAAAGCAATCCTCGAAAGCTGACCATAGATCTGAGGCATCCAGAAAGTGGGGGTGGAGGGGAACCTGAGAAGCAGAGGGGGCAGGGAGTACAGTGGGCCATGGTGGAGGTCTGCACCTGAGGGAGGGAATCCTATAGTTTCAAAACACTAGCAAGGATGTAAAACAGTGGCACTTCAATATATGAAAGGAAAGAAACCTTGGGCAGTGCCAGAACAGCCTGAACTGGTGTTGGGGGTGGGGATGTATTTGGAGACACTGGCTGCCACCTACTAGTACTGCACACCTACTGCAGGTGGTGTGGACTCCTGAGCCCTAGTGCACAGCGCCGTGTGGCCAAGTAGTCCTGATGTGAGAAGGAGTCAGGTGTCCTGGAAAAGATTGAACTAGGCAGGCCACTTGTGGGGTGGCTGCTTTAGAATTACCCAGTGAGTTGTTGGTTTTTAAAAACTATGTTAGGTGGGAACCACAGAATCTACCGTTTAAAACAGCATCTAGGAAGTTCTGATTTAGAGTCGGGTCTGGGGACCACAGGGTAGGGCACTTGATAGGGACTCTGGTGTCTGGGCAGCTCTGGTGTGAATCCAAGACTGAGAAGGACTCAGGAAAAAAGGGGGGCATTCCCACTGGTTCCCCATGATGGGGTGCTGTAAAGAGGGCATCTGTAGGAAGATGGGTAGGCAAAAGGCCCCCAGCTTGGCCTTCAGAGGGTAGTCAAGACCTTCAAAGGGCTGCTGGGGTCCCAGAAGCAATTCTTTGAATGTTACAGGAAAGCTGCCGGTTCTTCTTTGCTCCCTGCTTGTGGCCTGGCTTTGTGCATGGGAGCTCAGAGGTGACCTCAGATGGTCATGTTCTGGGCCTCTGCTCCTGGCTGGGCTGTGGGGAACCTAAGGAACATTCCCTGCAGACAGTGCTGTCCACAGGTGCTGTCTGCCCCACATACTTGAAACACTATAAAATTCACTGGCTCTGAAATTGGAAAGAAAATTGCAAAAGAATTTGCTCAGTAGTTTCTAATAGAATTCACTAAGTATAAAGGTGTATTTATTATTGTATTTATAAACTTCTACCACATTTGAAGTGAATGTTAAGTCCAGAGTTTTACATTTTTGAACAATTTTGGACTCGTCATGACTTTTTTTTTAAAGATTTATTTTACTTAGGGCCTCCCCGGTGGCGCAGCGGTTGAGCGCTGGGTTGCGAAGCTGCCCGTCGGCCTCTGCAGCGCCGGTTCGATCCCCGGCTGCTCCCCGGCCACTGGAGGAGGGTCCCACATGGCGCGCAGACCTCTCCTGCAGCCCGCTGCTCCCCTCAGCAGTGTACTTCGGTCCTTCTGCCTGCTCTGCTCCCTGCTCTGGCTCTGGTGAATTCTCTCACCCTCTCGCGCTTCTGACTGTACCCAGTGCATGTATAAACAAAACAAACAAACAAACAAACAAACAAATAAATAAATAATAAAACATGCCTCTATTAAAAAAAAAAACAAAAAAGATTTATTTTACTTATTAATTAATGCATACAAGAGCAGGGGTGTTGGCCAGAGGTGTGGGGGGAAAGAGGATTCACCAGAGACAGAGTGGGGAGCAGAACAGGAGGATCTACTAAAATACACTGCTAAGAGGAGCAGTAGTCTAGACAGGAGAGGTCTGCTGCGCCATGTGGGTTAACCCCCTGGCTGGGGATCGAACTCACGCCACAGTGGCTGGCGATAGCTTGATAGTGCTGAGACTTAACCCCTTGCATCACCAGGGAGGCCTGGACTAGTCATGGCTTTTATAGAGAAATCATAACAACGATAGATGAGTCTCTTGTAACCAACTAATTTCAGAAGCACATTACCAAAATCCTCTTAACATTTAAATGCCAAAATTATTATTAGAATAGCTGTAGGATGTAATGAATTCCAACCTGTGTGATATTGGTTGCAGTCTGTGGCGTGTTGGTCAGTGTTAACCTTTTGGGCCCGTGGAGAGAGGTTGACCTGCCCTGAAGCTCAGCATCTGGAGCAGACACCCCCCCACGCACCCCAAGCCAGGCAGCCACTGGATCGTAGGAGCGTATTTTCCTGTTGATTTCCCTTTACTTTTCCCTACAGGCCCAAATCTAAAATAAGTGGTATTTATATCCCTTTAATTTTCTCATCTGAAAACAGAGGCCTTCTTGTTTTATTACGTATGAGAGGAAGTTAGAGGAACCTGACATCATAGAATTTTTAAGGAGTTTCAGGTGATTTAGATCAGTTTCACTCTCCCTCCTCGCCCAGGGAAACACATGCTGAACCCCCTTACAGCTAAAGTCTGGGCCTACAGCCTGGGGATGTCTAGTCACCAAAGCCTTTTAACTCCATTCCTCACAGCAGCCCATTTCCATATTTGGAGGGACAGGGTTTGTAAATTGAGAAGTAACTTGGGTTTAACTGTAAGGCAAAATCCTTTTCATCTTCAAAGCCTGACAGCATGGGGTTATAACTCAGAGACTAAGCTGGGGTGGCTCTGACTCTTAAGGAAATAGGCCCATTTGTAGAGGAGGGGGGGCCAGCTAACCAGACTCAGGGGACAGGAAATAGACATAGCCCACCTGGGGTACTTTATGGACGAGCAGTCTCAATTTAAAATGCTTTTACCCCATTTTCAGCTGTATCACTCAGTGTGCTCTGATTTTTGGTTCATAAAATACCATCCCCAGTAGAAGCTGGGCTCAGATGAGTCTTTGGCTACCGCTGGGGTTTGGAGGGGGTAGCCATGGAAAGGTGATTTCCCCATCATTTGTTTAAGCCACTGAGCAAGGTCTAGTTCTCCATGGCACTGCTGAAGGGCTCCCTCCAAGCATGTTCTGCTTGGTGAGGGTAGAGAAGGATCTCAGCATTCTTATAATTTGGTACTCAAAGTACATTGGCATTTTCTTCATTGATTTTGCTGATCAGTACTTTCCTGCTCTCTGTCAGGCACTTGGGGAGAGAGAGGGCCTCAGATGCCTTGGTGTTGATTGGCAGATGGTTCTGCTCATTTATTATGTGACTTAATCCTGCAAGGGAAATATAATTCTCCTTTTACAGATGAGGAAGCTGAGGCTTAGAAAAGGCCACATGGCCACAGGGCTAATCTCTGATAGGGCTAAGCCTTGAGCCTGGGGTCAAGTACCTCTCGTGGAGTCCTGCACGGTAAGGGGTGTGCCTGGCAGCCTCTGCTGGAGAGGTGAGGATGAAGCTGGACTGGAGATGCCAGCACGTTCTCTGCAGAGCATCAAAACATCAGGCTAGAGAGCTAGGAGTGGAGGTGGTTCCTAAGTTTTGGTTCCCCCCATGGTGTTGGGTAGATGGCGTTGGGTAGATGGGGTATGTTTGGGCTTGAATTTCAGATTTATTCTTGAATTTTTATTTCAGGACATAACTTGGCAAGATGAGCACTCTGCCCCTTTCTCCTGGGAAACAAGGGTAAGTTGAATTAAATTTAGATTTGTCTGACCTTTAAAGAGAGCTGCTTTGTGTTACATATGTGTGTGTATGTTTCAGCATTTCAAAAATTCAGAAAGCATTAACCCCTCCGCCAGGCTGCAGGTGATGTGTCCACCACCCAAAGGAAAGCAGAGGACGAGAAGAGATAATTATGATGAGTAGGGAACACACATGTGGGTCCCTGGTGGGATTTAAAGTAGTAGTGGTTCTTTCACCCGGGCTCTCGGATGTCCTTTTTTTAAAAAAGATTTGTTTATTTATGCATACAAGAGCTGGGGTTTAGGCCAGAAGTGTGGGGGGTGAGGGGATTCACCAGAGACAGAGCGGGGAACAGAACAGGCAGACTGACCGAAATACACTGCTGAGGGGAGCAGCGGGCAAGACAGGAGAGGTCTGCTGCACCATGTGGGCGACTGCTCCCTGGCCGGCTGGGTATCGAACTCATGTTAGAGAGGCTGCAGACAGTTTCATAGGTTGCATCTTAACCCCTTGTGCCACCAGGGAGGCCCTCGGTTGTCCTTTGATGGGCCTTCTCATCACCTGAGAAAGCAGGGGCCCCTTTCTCCTACTTCCACCCACTGACCCTCAGCATGGGGTTGCTCCAGAAGGCAAAGCTTTGAAGGAAGCTTTTTTTTTTTTTTGGCAGCGGAGGCAACAGCTGCTTCCATTGAAATGAAAACAAGATTAACAGAGACAGGAAGTTGGGTAGTGTGGAGACAAGAGCGATATTGGCAGAGACCAGATCGCTGACCTATCCAAATTACCTGAAGGGGTCACCTCTAAGCCATGAGCATTCTGAGAGTGAAAGGGAAACCATATGAGGCTGAAATAGCCATTTGATACACGAGTGCATGTATTAGCAAATACAACCCAACTTGGATCATTAGTTCTGCTCTCCTGGTCATTCATTCATTCATGTTATTATTGTGACCAGAGTTGCTTATAAACATCAAGCTTAGCCATTGTTAATTCATTTCCCTGCTTAAGAGCATCAGGCTTAAATGATTTTAATTCATTCCCCTCACCTCCCTCGCTGCCACAGTAGAAGTACATTAATAAGCAGCAAAGAGGAGGTATCTGTAACCCAAGAGGAGGTATCTGTAACCCAAGGGAAAAAAAAACTGGGATTCTCTGAATTCTAGAACATTTAGTGCTGTGTGGGGGAGGGATATTTTCATAGTGGGATTAATGAAGCTACTGTGGGCCTGGAATAGGGCTTGGACTTGAGGTCAGTCCAGGCTTTCAAACACTGATGCTTGAAAGAGCTTGTTTCTTGGCTTTTCACTTGTCCCCTCAATTGTCATTGCAGCAGAAATGGGTATTTAGGAGCCTGCAAGAGAGGGGTGAAGCCATGAGGGGGTAAGCAGGAGGTCCTACAAGTCCCTCTGGGGGAACCTGTGTCTTAAAATGAACCCACATGTGGCGCAGCAGACCTCTCCTGTCTTTTCCGCTTCTTCCCTTAGTGTATTTCAGTAAATCCACCTGTTCTGCTCCCCACTCTGCCTCCTCTCACCCCCTGCATCTCTGGCCTACACCCCAGTTCTTCTATGCAAAAATAAATAAATAAATCTTTAGGCGAAAAAATGAAATACTTGACAGAGGTTCAGCTGGATAGGTCAGCTGGCCTTCTTGCACATGGACAGCATCTAGTAAAGGATTCTGATCGTCCCAAGTGAAGCGGTCAGGCCTTAGGATGTGGAAGCAGATGCAAATGGAGGTGATTCTTACTTATAGGTAAGAGTTGATTTCTGAGAATACCTGACGTTGACACAGACAAACCTGTTCACTCAGCAAGCCCAGGTTTCTTCTGCCTTCGGGATGCTATTACATTGGGTCCTCAACATTCTAAAAATAAAGATGCAAACATTGCATCCTGTGTGTGTTATTTTTTATGTTCACTGCAGATTAATCACCTCGGTCTGTGCAGAGTGAGCGAAAATGGTATGACTAGATACTGCAGTCTCCCTCAGGACTTGGTCACTGGTTGGAGGTTTGGTTGGGGTGGAGGTGGGGGAGGGAGGCTATCAAGGATATCAAGCCTGGAATCACTGTAGCTCCTAAAGCCAATAGGAAATCCTCTGTTGCATGACATTGTGAAGGATGCAGGTGGGTGGAAAGCATAGCATTATAATGGCATTGGGCAGCAGCTCTCAATATTCCTCCTCTATGGTCCCCCACTGGGTAACTTAGGAAAGCACTCATCCCATGCGTGACAGCCAGTGGCAGCAGACAAGTGGGTTCTCTGAAGGTTGGGGAGGAACAGCCTCGGGTGGGGTGGCCCAGAAAACAGCACAGATCTTCTGGGATGGGGACCCTGTGTTTGAGGATATAACATTAATGAAGGCAGAGAAGTGAAAATTGTTAAAATATCCTACACCCTCAGGCCATTGTGTGCCCTGTGATATCTGCTCTCTTAAGAATTTACCTTATTGTTTCTGACTCAGCTATGTGTGGGATGGGACATTTCATCTATTATTAACTTGCTGCAGGTGACATTCTGCGACAAGGATGAGATAGTGTTCGGGTTAGCCAAGGGACAGGGCTCAACTACCAGGACCCACGTGGGGAGCGGGGCACTGGAAAAGGCCTTGAGAGCAGAGAGAGCTAATACAGTGTGTGGGGGTCATACTTGTGGTGCTAATGGTCCACAGACACCAGCCTGGTGCCGAGGAATCTGGTAAATAGAGAAGATTCAATAAAGTCAAGTTTATATGTGTCTCTCATTTTAACTTGTATCCTTTCAGTAAAAAACACAGTCTTGGTGGCTCGGAATTCTCAGTCCCATGTCATGTTCTCTTTCAACGAGAGAACCTGTTGGTTTTGCCACCTGGTTGGCTTGCTCTGTGTCTTCCTCACATTTTATTTTGGTCTCGTGGAGTGAGAATTAGTTTCGTGTTAGACCTTGAGGAGGCAAAATAGAGAGCACTCCAAAGAACCAATGAAGGAGTTTATTCCTTTATTCGGTGGTCAATGTTGCGTTCTAGAACATTCTGCCAATTGGCCCTCTCTAGCCTTAAGCCAGAGTGCTCTACCTCTTGGCTTTGGCACACTTTATTACAGAGAGTGGAAGAATTTGTAGCCATTTTTAATCTGAAATTTCATACCCTGGCAGCTGTGGCACTGGGTCATCTTATTCGATTGTTTTCCGCCACCCATTGATTATTTTACTTTAATATTTAATTGTGGTAAAATACACAAAAAATTGACCTCTTTGCCCACTTTAAGTGTGCAGTTCAGTCACCATTGTGCAACCATCACTGCCATCTGTCCACAGAACTCTTTCATCATGCAGAACGGAAACTCTGTCCCCTTTAACACTTACCACCTACTCCCCCAGCCCCTGGCAACTGCCATTCTGCTTTCTGTCTCTATGACATCATCCTTTGATTTTTCAGAAGTTCAGTGAACATTTATCGCATATGCGTTCTATGTCAGAACATTGGGCTAGATGCTCAGCGATGAGTAAACACTTCTCCACTCATATAACAGTGAGTGGCTAGTTCCGTTTGTTGGCAAAACTCATGCAGGAGAAAAGCTTTGTCCTCACAGGCATCCTTTCAGCCATCTTCCCCACTTACTTAACACATATCTACGCACGTGTTGGTAGGTGTGTGTGCCTGCATTTTCCAGAGGACAGCTCAGCAGATGTTTCGTGAATGACAAATATGTGCCCAGCTGTTTGTCACTTTTGACTTTTCAGCTCCCTGAAACCAACTGGCTGGGAAATGCCCACACCCTGTCTGCTCCCCAACTCCCCACAGGCAGGTTGAATGGACACGAGAGATTGAGCTCAGGTCTGTGGCTGGCAGGAATCCTGCCCACAGCGGGACAGAGGGGCTCGTGTCAGGGTGTTTCACAAGGAGAGGATTCCCTTGGTTTCATGTCCTGGCTCTGCTTATATCCCGGGTCAACTGAGACAAGGGTGAGCCTGACCCCAGGCCTTGGCTATGGGGCTGAGCTAAGAATCTCAGGGACTTGGGGCTTCTCGCCCAATTACTGGATCTCTGTATGGGCTTCTTTACTTGGGCCAGCCGCTGGCAGCTCCAGCTGCAGAGCATGAGCTGTCTCTGAGCTGGGACCCTGCCTCAGTGAAACACAGCTCTGATTGCAGAGCCCATGACAGCCCAGCTAGTGCAAGGTGGTCTCGGGCTACAGCCGAGCACCTGGCTTCTTTGAATCCTCTCTGTCTTCCAGCCTGTTCCTCCCTTACTGAGTTACTTTCTTCCTGACCAGGCTGGCGTGGGCCCTGTGCCTCTGCGGCTCTGACCTCTTCCATCACAGGAAAGAGGCTCAGAGGGGGAGCAGCCCAGGCAAGGGCATGGTTGTGGCCATCATCTTTTCCACTCATCTGTCAGCTTGGCAGCCGTTCTGGGGGAGAGGGTGCCCATGGGGCCCCGTGGTGGATTCCTCTCTCATGCTCCTGAAGTTTCAAGAGGAAAAAACCAGCACTTGGAATGCTGCAGAGAGGGGGGCAGAGTATGGAAAGGATTCTTTGCATTCCCCAGTCGGTCTGGGCTGGGGAATGTAGAGGAGATGCCTGGGGAGGCAGGTCAGGCCCTGGCTGGGGCTCTGGGGACACCCCCCCCCCCGCCCTCCTCCCCCAGAATGTCTGGCTTTTTCCTTTTTCTCAACCCCAGTCCTTCTGATGTCCAGCTGCTTATTTGGGGATTGTAAGTAGATGGGTGTGGGATGGTTTCCTTCATTCCTTTGGTATCAAAGATCTCTGAGGGTCAGACAGCTTTCCCAGAATAGGGGGAGCTCCAGCCCTTCCTCCGCAAGAGAAGCAGGCCCTCAGGAGCATAAGCCTCCTGCTTATGGGTGCTGGGTACTTGTGTCGCTGTTCCTGACAGGTCAGCTCCCAGGGACCCAGGGAGAGCGTCGCTGACAGGTGAATGAGGAGATTGGAACTTGGGTCTGTCCTTGGCAGCAGGAGTCTCCTGCTCACAGCAGGACAGAAGGGCATTCGTCCAGTGGTTCCC